GAAATGGGTTATTTGGGAGGCAGAGGAATCCCTGTTTAGCTGCAGATGAGCCAGGTACCCAAAAGAACACCAATTAGAATAAAGCTTGTCTAACCTTACTAGGCCTTCTGTACCTGCTTGATTGTTTATAAAAAAAATTCTGCACTAGAATTCTTGCATCTGCTTTACCTAATTCAGGTATGTTCACCCTGGCGCAGCTTGCAGTGTGGCTGCCTGCTGCCCCCACACCATCCTGGTGGCAGCTCTACCACACCAAGTGGTCTGGCCCACTTGGGGCCAGACTGACACTCAGCACCAATCAAATGCTGGTGTGCTACTAACCCTCTCTGGGCTGAAACTACAACGTGGAGGGCACAGCACTGTGATGTGCTCAAGTGATGACAAATAAGTTTATAGATTTTAATACGTTGGCTAAACACAGTCCTGTGATCAGCAAGAAATATATGCCTTCATGCTTTCTGTTGTGATTAAGAAATTCTGAGATTTCAAGATTGAAAAAAAAAAAAAAAAAAAAAAATTTAGGGTTTATTTGTGACTCAATTTTTTGTTAAGTCCTGGGAATTTTTGAAAGGAATGTATAGTATTGCAATCCAAAACTTAGTCATGTCTCTTTACCAGATTTTTATAAGCCCTGTACTAGCAGAGAGAAATATCTCTTACTTTACAGTCATGCCTTAGTCATGTAATTGCTTTTGACAGTCTATACATTTGTGAGCAACTGTTTCCAAGGATGAAACATGGGAAGAGTACAATTTAATCAAAAATCTCACAAACGCTATGAGAACTCACTATGAATTGCAGTCATTTCCACTGAACCTGACTGGTGCATTAGTTTCACACAAACAGGGTTGTGTATCCCACTAGTTTTATGTATCTGTTGTTCTCTTCATAGTATGTTTTATTAAAAATCATTAAAAATTAAATTTGTCACTTATGTGTGTTAACTATATCATGTATTGAATGAGGGCTGCTCCAAAGTCAATGCCTCCTATTTTATTATGTTGGCCTATGACATCAAAGGCAGAGGTTAGTGCTAAGGCAGTAGAGTTTGAACCTTCCCACCACTGTTCCACTGTTCTGTTGTCATGCAGCAGGTGGCAGCAGAGGTGCAATTGGACAAAATGGCATCTGACATGGAAGTGTGTATGAAACAGGGGTGTTTCATTCAATTTCTCCATGCGGAAAAAAATGGCACTCAGTGACATTCATTGACACTTGCTGAATGCTTTTTGGAGACCGAAGAGTGGAGGGGAGCACAATGAGGTGGTGGATGGGGTGTTTCAGCAGTGGCAATGACAACAGTGGGTCACCTCCACATTGTTACAAGCATGGCATACAGGTTCTTGTCACGGCTGGTGAAAAGACACAGCTAGTGGTACTACTATGCTGAAAAAAGTGTTTTGCAGCTGAGAATTCACTCTATTAGTGTTATTGTGTTCATCGTATTAACTATAGTTTCCATGGAAATAATTAGGAGACATTACTTTCAGAGCACCTTTGGTAGATGCAGCCCTAGACAATTCCTCTTCACTCAGTGCAGCCCAGTCAAGCTGAAAGGTTGGACACCCACGACCTAATTCCTGGGAGGCCAGGAGGCAAGCAAGTAAAGAAATGCCCTAACTGCGAGGCTGTGCCATGAAGTGGACAGTGATGTGAATCTGGCAAATTTTGGGTTATTCTGTTAGACAAACTTGCTTATGCTAAGTGGGATTGTTTTCTTATAAAGCTTGTTACGTTATATAGTTTGCTTGACTTTATTTCAAAGGTTTCTCATAAATAGAAATATTTTTTATTTTTTATATTATTATTCAGGTATTCTTATTATTCAGATATTCATTATCTGAATAATGATAAGCAAAGGCGGAACATTATTGCTCTTCAGGAATATGTGCTGAGAGCTTTACAACTTCCCTAAAACAAACGTGCATAGGGCTGGTGACACTGAACTGTGGTAGCTGCCAGGGTCCATGAGAGACTCCTTCACTGTGGCAGGCTGCAGTCTCTGATGTCACATTGTTCCAGATAAAAGCAGCATATCAGGGTGAGGCAGTCTGACTTGCAAGGTGATACTTTTCTTACACTGTGTATTTTTAGACTCTTTTTCTCCTTCTGTTTAGTATTGCTTCAGTTGGTGTGTTATTGCCCAGAGACACTGTATTCTCTCTTGTCATGGTCTTACATACCACACAGAGTTCAGACACAGTTATGTACCTGTGTACTGAAATCTGTACTTTTGTAGGTATTATATATAAAATCAGTGCTTTTTTATTTGTATCAGCAACTTGGAAAGGAAAACATAAAATTGAGATTTATGTTTCTTTGTCATTCAGATATATTTGATGCACTGCCTATACTGATTAATAGATTGTGTGTACCATGTAGTGTAAGATATTTCCATTTCTTCCTCTGTTTTCTTACTCTGTTTTAATGTTGTAAATCAGCAGTGTTCCATACTCACAATTATATGATTTTCCAAATTTTTTTTTGGTGAGCCAGTCTCATGGCATGATAAATATCCAGTTTTGTGTGGTATGTAAATATCCACTTTCATAATTATCATGCATATTGGCATTTGGTAAATACTAACATAATTAACAGACTTAGTGTTTACTTAATGTATTCTATTGAATATCTATAACTAAGTGCTATTAAGGTAGATGATGTATTGTGAAAAAGTCTACTGGCATCATTTTGTTTATTTAATGTTATCCTTTGCAGTGTTTATCATCTTTCAGGTTAGTGACTGTTCTGCATACGGTGATGTTTTTCTTCTCTGTATCATTACATTGCCATACTGTTAGAATAACAGCATATTAACATTTGTCATAAGAGTGCAATTTAGTCTTTCAGAGTGAAATTCATTGCTGGGCGTTGGGCCAGGATGAGGCTCCAAGTCCTACTTCAGCTCTCAAATCAGTGTAAAAGCACATGCAAATTGTCATATTTACTCCTCTTTTTAGCCTGAACAGAACCACTTTTGTATGTACTTCAGTGAGATTTGTGCTCTTCATCTGCTGCTAATCCAGACACATAAGAGCCTAAAATATATTCAGGTTTCCTTTATTCTTTCCCAGCGTGGATGCGCAGCACTGTGTGCAGATCTCCACTAAGGGTTGTGCCCTGCGTTATCCCTTACACCATCCTGCTGAAGGAGCACGCGGGCTGGGTAAAAGTTCTGCATTCCAGCTAATAGTTGTTATGGACAAAGGAAGCTAGTAAAGTCCAGTACACTGGAGCTGGTACAATTCAGTCTGTAGGAAAGCCAGACCTTTGTATGCATAGGCAGCACAAAAGTAGTCATGTGTGGCATCCCTTGGATTTCTTCTCTGTGAAATGAAAAAAGACCTTACAGAAGTGGTGCTTTTTCCTTCCAAAGCCATTTAGAGGCTGTTACATCTAACGTGCTCGTTATAATGGTGAATTAATTAGCAATACACCATGCTAGGACTGGAAGAGCTAAGTTAACACTTTGCCAGTGTGTGCAAAGACATCCTTACAAGGCTGAAAACGCAATTAGGAGTAGCCATTAAAAATCAGCGTAAGAGTGCAGGAATTGATTGTGAGCACAAGTATTTGGTTTTGTGAATTAATGACACTGACTTGAGAAAATGGAAATCTTAATATCAACTCTTGGTTAGCTAGAGAAGCCTTATACCCTTAGTTTGTTTTTAATCTAAACTACTCAGCCTGAAGAGTGAGATTGGCTTGAAAAAAGGAATTCCTTTCTTCCTTGATGGTGTGGGAATCTTGGTTAATTACTATCTGCAAATTGCCTTGCAGTCCTGAGGATGTGTCTAAAAAAGGCAGTCAGTGCTGTTGCTCCAGGAATGAGGAGCTGTCTGACACTTGTAGCAATGAGTTACAGGTAGTAAAATATACAGCTGTCATTTGATCTGTTGCTGGGGAAGGGCAGAACAGCTATTTGTGCATTATATCTACTGTCTTGCAGAAGCCAGAACTCAAACTGGTTTTATTGGGACTAATTTTTTTTTTTTAATTTTTCTTATCTGCCAAAAGTAAAGCATCAAACCTGTAGTGCTCAGCTACACTGAAAATCAAGACACAGTTTGTATCTTGTCTACAGCACAGTAGAATTGCTCATGTGGACTGTTTTGGTACAGTTAACAAGAGATGTATACTCTTCCTTCTGCATAAGCAAAACTCCAGTGTACTCTGGATCAGGTCCCTAAACTCATCTTTTGCAATCTTTTGACATTGTAAGGTTGGAGAACACAAAATCTTCTACTTGTACTTTAGTGCTGCATTACTTATGTACTGCTTGGCCTAGTTCTAGTTTTTTTATTTGAACATTATATGTTCTGCCTTCCTAATAACTGCTTAGGAGAAAAATCAATAAATGCATGTTTCCTCAGTAATTGAATGTGAAAACCCTGTGGATAATAATCTGTGTGTAATCTAAATGGTCTGTTATGTGTGTGGGAAATAACTTTTACGCCATAATTCCAAGATTATTTTGTTACTTTATTTGCTTGCACCTTAATATACATGCATGCTGTCATGCATGGGAGAATTCCCAAGGAGAGCTCAGCTTGGAGAATGTGCTTTGCTTTTGTTTTGGTAAACATTCCTGGTGGGGAAGAGGCTTCCAGGGCCTGTCTATCCTGATGGAGTGTAGAAGTTACACTGCATGCCTGAGGCCACATAAGCTTCTGGAAAGAAACTCCTGCAGGGTGCTGTGGGGCAGGAGCCAGTGTCTGCAGCACTGCTGTGGGAGTGTGGTAGCTCTGCAACTGCAGCCCTCAGCAGTGAAAATGATGATCAAATGCTCAGCATTGCCTTTGGAATTCTAGAGGTGTGGAGTCAGACTTGCAGCAGGGAGCACTCAGATGATTTATAGGAAAAGAAACCTCCTCTATGGGGGCAGGCTGAAGAGAGTTGAGGCTCTTCAGCCTTGAGAAGAAAAGGCTCTGGAGGGACCTTTCAGTACCTACAGAGAGCCTTGAGGAAATCTGGTGTAGGACTTTTTATAAGGTTTTTATAGCAGGAGGTTGAAACTAGATGAATATAAAGGTCCCTTCCAACCCTGATTATTCTATGATTCTAAGAATATACTCGCCCAAAGGATTCCTCAGAACGCTTTGTCTAGTATAGAAAGTAGTGCAACTCAAAGGTGTTTGCTGGAAATTCTAAAACTAGTAAAGAATAAAATTAACCAGATTAATCATTTGTTGAGAGTGGTTTGCACGTGTCTAGCCCATGTTTTTTCTAAGTATTTATGACAAACTGCCAGGTAAGAGATTTACTCATGCTGTGGATTGAAACAAAGATTCTCTTGTCTTGTGCTGTGGATCCAGCCTGCTCAGCTGAGTGATAGATAGTGCTTCAGCTTGTCTGGAAAATAAATACTCTTAGTTATAAGCATTTTTAGTCATTTTTAATTTTTCAAATTAAATCCAGTCCTTTGCTAGTAGTGACAGGAATGGCACATAGGATCCAGAGTTGCTGCCAGTGGTCATCTTTAACACACTGTGACAGGTAGGATTGGCTGAACAGCCTGAGTGCGTAGCAAGAGGCTTGACAGTACTCACTGGAATGAGTTGCAGAAGGAACTATAAAAGGCGATTGCTGTTCAAGGAACTTTCTCTGTGGTGAGTTCTTGCACACATTTTGTCATGAGGAATGGCTTACCTGTTGCAGGGAGCAAACTGCAGGTACTGCACTATTCAATGCTTGCCTTGTGTTCACCTGCCTTCTTCTCTGCCGGGTGGACCTGTAACACACTCCTTGAAGCAGGAGGTTATGATTCGTCACTAAGATATATATGTAGGCACACAATTAATTTTCCTGTGTTTAAAGAGCTTTTTTTTCCATCAAGTATCATGACATCCCAGTAACAAACAGCCTATGTTGCAATTGTAAGAATAAAACTTTACTTACGCCTATGTAGGTTTCTGCTGTTTTATGAAGATTTTTTTCTTGTGCTGCTCAGTTATGAAAGCATTTTGTAAAACTTAAAATTGCGCATATTAAGGCATGCTGTTTGCAGTCTTTTGGGAATATGAGAGGAATTTAAAGATATTCAGATGATCAACACATTCACAGAAGAATGGATGCTTCTTAAGAGGAGGTAGAACTGCTTCCTTGGTAGTGTCTCACCAGGTTCTGTTGTGTGCAAGTTATTATTTCTTGTTTAAAGGTTTTGGAATTCAACCTACTGTTACTAAGGGCAGGATTTATTTAGGTATGGCTCCTAAACCTTAGAGCTGTAGTTTTATCAGTAAGAAAATAACACTTCAGAGGTACCTTTCTCTTATTCACCCATCCTCAGCACCCTTCAGTAGTCTCTTTCCTTTGATTATTAGGAGTGTAGTCATTTTACCCTTTAAATTACTAATTAAATGAGATTAATATACTCTAAGAAACGTTACAAACTTACACTAATGTATATATTGTAATTACACTTGAGGAATAATAGTAACTTTTTTCCAGATATTAGTATTAACGATGGTAAAAAAAAAAAATGTTTAACTTCTCACTAGTAACTTTTTAGGAGTGCTATATTTAAAAAAAAAAAACAACCAACAAACTTGTTTGTTACTCTGTGGGAAGGAAAGGTTAGTGTTTGCTTTAGGGTAAAGATACTTCATTTCCATAAAACATGGAATGTTTCCTTCTATATGATATAAAAAGCCATTTAATCAGTAGTCACATTTTCCTTTGTCATAGTTCAATTGTCAAGACTGGAAAGTGTGGCAAGTTGATACAGGAGTGAAGTGGTTTAACTTGTCTATTCACCTGGAGTCTGACTCCACTGTGTGATTTTTGAAGGGTTACAGCTGCCGTTTTTACAAGAGACAAAGAGGGAAAGTGGACACAGTAGAGTAACTTTTCAGGTTGGATTGTAGGAAAAAATTGTTCTCTGATAGAGTGGCTAGGCACTGGAATAGGCTGTCCAGGGACGTGGTGGAGTCACCATCCCTGCAGGTGTTCAAGAGAAGTGTCTAGATGTAGTCCTCAGGGACGTGGTTAGTGGACAATATTAGTAGTAGGTGGACAGTTGGATTAGATGATCCTAGCAGTCTCTTCCAACCTTAATGATTCTATGATTCTAAGTTTTCTCTGATTTTGTGTGTTTTTAGGTTTGGGGTGTCTTTTTCCCCTTTGTTTGTTCTTGAAACTTCTCAGTTAGTTTTTTGTTTTACAACCAATTTGAAAAAGTAAGGCAATTTGTGTTCATCTCCACATGGACATGTTGTAAAGCAGACTCATTACTGTGAATAGGACATAAATGAAAGTTTTCATTATTCTAAGACGGTCTCTACTGGTACATTGGAAGAATCAAGTAATCAAATGTCTTCAAAATGGATCTAGCAAAATACCTGTGCATTTTTTTTTCTTGTTCTTAAACAAGAGTATCTTTATAAGTATTCTTGATTTTCTATGAGCAATCTTAAAGGGACTAAAAGAGGAAAATCTCAGGTTTTGTGAGGAACAAGACTTTCCACGTGGTTTCGAGTACCTGTCTCTTTATCTTATGTGACAGCCCAGCTTAATATAAAGTTTACTATAATTATTAATATTAGTTTATTTGTGGATGTGCCTAAATAAATAGCATCTTATTTTTTTCCTTAATGGAACCCTTGTCACCACCCCCACTAGTTTCAAATGAGATAGAATGAGGCTTATGACACTTTTTTCCAGTTTCCAGTTTCTAATGAGATATTGTAGCAAGCCAAAGAGCTACCATATTATTTGCCCTTGCTGGAAAACAGACCCAGTGCCAAGGCCAATGTCTTACAAGGATTGGCATGAGGTTTCAAAATTGCAAATTTTTGAGTTAGCATCAGTGGTGAGTAAGAAGGGGTGTTCCAAGCAAGGCTGAGAATGGGGATTGTGCACCTAAAAAACTACTGAACCATCTTTTCTAACAAATAACAACCTTCTCTGAGTTGCCACTGTCAACTGACCCATAGCCAGAACTGCAATTAAGCTTCAACATATTTTATAAAAAATAGTACTTAGTTTACTTTCACATAAGTGAAGAGATACAATTGCACAATGGTGGTTACAATGGTAGAAATACATACTGTTGATAAAATGTTTGCAAGAGATTTAAAAACATATTGTACAGCACCACATCTGGAATTGGGTGATGGCAAAATGAGTTGTACTCTGTGTCCAAGTAAAATTAAATTCTTAAATCTTTCTTCTAGAATAAATAAAAAATACAATGTGCAATATGTCTTACATTACCAAAATATTTCCTGGAGCTTAACAAGAGACTGAAAACAAAAATGAGGTTAAAAAAAAAAAAGACATTCATGCATTTAAGCCACCATTAGTCTCTGACTCTAAAATAAGGCAGATCAATATCTTTTAAACTGTCCTTAGCCACTTCTTGTAGTGTTTTTCACAACAATGTCTGTCAGTACCTTGTGGAATCATGAGTTATGATGCTTCTATTTCCAGCAAGTTGTTTTTGACAGGTACAGCCATATTTGAAATGCACTGCATGGTAGAAAATGTTACTTTTTCTTAATGAAGAAAAGAAATGAAAAAGATATGGAATTAAGAGAAATGGATGTGTTAGAATTTTTCACAAATGAGGCTGTTTTGAGATGGGGGAGGGTGAGGGAAGCAAAAGTGAAAGAATTATGTGTCATCATCAGTCTTAATGACGTGGAAAAGAGTAACATTAAACAGGACTTGGTGTCCATTATTCCAAGCATAGAGAGCTCTATCTCTTGCATTGTAGTCAAGCATGGATATATGAAAATACTGATTATGGAAAGGAATGTCTGTATACTCGTAAGTGGAGGTTTTGGTGGAGTAAGAGTAGTAGACCTTGGCTCCTGTTAAGTGAGAGTTAGTGACATACAAGGTGCCACAGATCATGAAGGATTCTCCAGCACTTCTTTTGGGGTAGCCTGTACTCCAGCTCTTCAACACCTCTAGTGTGTCCTGGTTTAGCTGGCTGATAACGATGTTGCCTGCATTCTGGTTGGTGGCATACACAGCCCAGAGCCCAATTTCATCTGCCATCAGGTCAATATCAGAAAAGCCACCCCAGGTGTAGGGGTAGACATTGTGAAAGCCAGCGTACTCAAGGCTACGCTGTGCAAGCACCCGCCCAGTATCAAAGCTGTATTTGATGATGATGTTGCTCTGGTACTTGTTGAAATACAGGGAGCCATTGTAGACAACGTGGTTGGTTCCTGCCCATTTGAATGGAAGGTTGTATGTCCTTGATTCTGCCCCACTGACAAAGTCTGCAATTGATTTATATTCACGGACAATTTTATTATTAGTGTAACTATCCATGTACCAGACCTGGAAAGAAAACAAAAGTTGGATGTGAATATCTGGAACACAATTTCAGGCATGTGAATGTGATATGATGTGATGAATATCTAACTGAGAAAGAAGGAAAAAGGTTCTGGGTGCACAGCAGTCTGTCAAAATACAATATTATCCAAATTCCTGTTAGAAAGATATGGAGAACTCTCCGAATCAAGATTTACTTATGCAAGTGAACTCTTATGATGGCCAGGCTGGGATCCTATCGCAGAGGTAAGCAGTAGCATAACATGCATTATGGCCAGTGGTCAGTATTCAGCTTATGTAGGGCTTAATCCTGCAATGCTGTATTGTGAGGGGGGGCTGTATAGGTGTTGATGTTTGTATTAAATTACTTAAGTTCTTAAGGAGCTGAGCTCAATAAAATCTTAGGAAGAAATAAAATATATATTCGCTTTGGATAGGTTTATATCATCCCTGATGCCATTAAAGGAAATGGCACAAATGTGCTATGCTAACATTAGCCTTTAGATATTTTTGCCCAAACACTTTTGGTCTCTCTCTGAAGATGTTTAACAGTGAAAATGATGGAAGAAATATGTTGGTGAGTGTAACTTCCTAAGGGAAAAATCTCTTTAAAAATTAAAATAAAGCAAATAAAACTCTAGAAGGACACAGATATTCAGAGTTTTAACATACTCGGTTATTTTTCTCTGATGCCAATGGATCTGTCATCCAGGCTCCAAATCGGGTTCCAGATATCTTGACTGTAATGGGGCCTGTAATTTTCATCAATTTGCCACATGCTGAAATTAGAAAAACAAATGCATTAAAGCACATAATTACACAACCCTCCTTGACATCAGACAGAGCACTAGACCAACTGCTCAAAACTAAGTAGTTGCTCCAGGGAACTGGGCTTAGGTTGAAGCATTGTCATCTTCATTGTATTAACTTTTTTGAATTAGGCAACAATACAAATATAACAAAACAAAGAGACAAAAGAGGACCACAAAAACAAACAAAAACTAAAAAAAAAAAAGAAAACAAAACCTTTATATATTTTTGGTTTTGTGTCTTTTAGAGCATGTTTTCATTTCCTAGGTGTAAAGAAAAATATAGCCTAGTAAAATATCTTCTCAGTTGACACAAGTAACATTTAATAATAAATGAAAAAACTTATTTTTGCCTTCAGAAAGTTCAGTGAAAGGTTAAATTGATGAATGTTTCAGTTTTCCATCGATCAGGGTAACAATGAGGGGAAGGGTAGAGAGGTAAAAATGAGACAGTGCATCTTCTACACAGATGCACCACTGTGTACAAGTGCAGGCCTGCATCTGTCTCTGCCCTGGGGTTATACACACAGATGGACTGGTACTATGGGCCTGGCTGAGGCTAAAAAAGTGAATATGAGAATTATTCAGCAACTGTGGCTGTATCATTTGGCTTCTAATATGTTATACTTGTTGTGTCAGGCTGTCTAAGAGGAAATAATGAAAATCAATATGATCTTGGTTGTTGACCTTATTAATGAACCAAAAGTCTATATTTCAGGAGACATAAATAACAAACATATTAGCAGCAAGACCCTGATGGAATCTGTGTTTAGTGAGAGACTTAATATCACAGTGATGTGTAGGTATTTCAGTGAAGTAGCATCCTTAAAGAAAGAATGCTTTATAAGAATGGGGAAAAAAGTAACATGTCATTTCATTTTTCTTTCAAATTTATAAGTGTTTCGCCATGATATTTGGTCATGCTATAGTGTACAAGCTAATCTACATAGGTGTATGGGAACTGCTGAGTCACGGCCTGAACCTCTCATTGATCACCTGAGGTGAGCCATGAATCAGCCAGAGGAGCGCAGGTGAAGGCAATTCACCTGTGCTGCTGGAAGGGGTGGAGCCTGCATGACTGTTGTCCTGGCTCCAAGACCTATACTGGCTGGCTACCAGTGGGGAAGGATCTCTTCTAGAGATCTACTCTGCTGGAGTTTTGTAAGTGAGCCCAAGATATGGGTAAGCTTTCTGTCTATTCTCTTTTTGTTATCATAATCTGCTTTGCCTAACTCTTGTTTATTTTGTAATTATAACATCTTAGTATTCATTGATTATATAATGGGAAATGTGGGAAACAAATGTTATGTAGGACTGAGAGTGATCTTATTCAGTTCAAAGGAGAAGATTGCATCAAGCTTTGATTTTTCTATTTTATGAAACTAGCAAGGACTTTTTTTTTTCTGGTCAAATCTTTGTATCTAGAAATCCCTCTTTAATAAGTAACTGGTTGCACAGATCTTTATTTGGTAAGGTTGTGAAAATAAACTGAACAGGATCTATTTTGAAGATAGCTAGGAATATATGATCTTCCCAGGCTCTGATGCAAATGGACACTGATGGCTGATACGTAAGCCAAGTTAAGTGTATGATTAATAGAAGGACTTAGAAAAGAAATAAAACAAAAAAAAAAAAACAAATCATCTTCCTGAAGTTCATAAGCATTGCATTTAGTGCAGGTAATAAAGAGGGGAAAATGACATTTTATTTTCAGTTGTTGCACAAACGAATTCCGAGTCCGTTAGCTATTTCACTCTCCAAATTATGATCAAATTTGTTGTGATGTTACTTTGTTACATGAAGGAACAAAGAATCAGTTCTTAATGGGTGCATGACTGTTGTCCTGCATAATACAAATCCAGGAAGCACTTCAGTCTAGTCACTTGAGCTCTGTGAGAAGAAGCCTGTGGATCCTATGGCATGAGGGCAGTGACTTGCCAAGTAATCCCTGGGAAAGTCACTTATCCTTCCTGACTTATTTCTTCATCTACAAGATGGAGATAATGATAAAACTTGCTATTGAACAGTTTTGTACTAGGAGATATTAATAAATCTCTCCAAATTACACTGGGAATGTTGCTTTGAGAGTGCAAGTACCACTGCAATCAGTAATTGTATGCCTTCGTTAATACCTTTTTTGTCACTGATACACCAGCATTTTTGGGGGGTAAGTGGAATTTTGTAATTTTGAACTTTTTAACAAAAAGTGTTAATGCAAAATATAGCTATATATATTCTATTTTTATATTATATTTTATATAGTTTTTATATATATTATATATGTTATTTATAGCTATAGCTGCAAATGAATCCAATGTATGTCTACTTGAATCATGTCTTCGTACTTCAGTAAATAACTTTTTACAGAGTATTTGCTTCTCTTTTTTTTTTTTTTTTTTTTTTTCATTTTACTGAACAGACCAGAATGGTCTTAGGCTTACTGTGCAATCTTCATTCGCTCACACAAGCATACCTTTCATGACTGCTAGTGAAGGACCTGTACGTGCATAATTCAATATGCACTTGTGGTATATGCAATCATACAGACTTTCTCTACATGCTTTATTTCATGTTCTCCATTTTAAAGTTTCATGGCTAGATTTCTAAGCAGTTTTAACCTGAGCTTTCTCCTGTTCCAAAGGGAAGGAGTGAGTTTCAGTTATCACAACTGCTATGGTAATTATGAAATCTCAGGGAGAGTAAAACATCTGCTTATTGTATGCTAATAAAAATTGAAATTGCTGCCAGTGAAAATGGAAGATCTCCTCTAAGTGGCCAGGACAATACAAATAATGCATTATAATGGTGAAAAATGCCTGCTAGGGATAAGAATGGCAAATAGCTATTACACGTGCAAGTTAGGTAATTATGTTATGAAACACAACAAAATCTGTTAAGCTAGGTCCTGTGTAACATTGTGGCCAATCTGCCTTCTGCTGCTGCAGGCTTCTAGCTGTCAGATTGGCATGGGCAGTCGCAGCTGGGTCATATCTTGTGGTGCGTATGACTGGAACACACAACAGTTCTTCAGGAGCTGTTTGCAGTTAAGCCTAAATTAAGCTGTTTTTAAACTACTATAAAGGATTTTAGCACCACTATTAGTAGAAGAAAATAAAAGTAATTTAAGCATCTAAGCCCAATTAGTTAATTGTGACCCATGGCTGCTTTGAAAGGCAGGCTTTCCTAGTTTTTATTGTTGAGCATGCTGCTACGTGGCAAGGAGTAACCCTCTGGCCAGTTTGAGCCAGCTCTGTTTCTTCCTAATTTCTTCCCCACCTGTGACCCCACTCTGAAGGGAACACTGGGAAAAAGAGAAATCGTTGATACTTTGAAAGCACTGCTCAGCACTAATGAAAACATTGGTGTGTTGTCAACATCTGCTTAGTCACAAATCCTAAACAGAGCAGCAAGTGGGATGCTATCAGGAAAGTTAATTCCCCACTGACTAGAACTGCAATGAAGACTTCAGAGAATGCGAAGGAGAAAGGATGTCCAGGGAAGTGTCCATTTATTGGGAACAGGTTATTATGCTTATCTTTAGTGTGTTGGTGGCATGGATGTGCTCTGGAATTATTTAAAAACTCTCTATTGTTCATGAACATATATTTAATATATATAACTTTTCTACACTAGTACATCAAGAGAGAGAGAGAATATGCTGCAGGAATTCAGAATATGTGAGGGGAAATGTGGTGAAAAATTAAGCAAATAGTAGACATCTGGGAAGAGAGTCCTCATATGATTACATCTGGTCACTCTGATGTAAAAAAAAAAAATCTATTCTGTACTGTAGTCACTTTACTACTCAGTTTTAAAGGTATATGATACGCCATAGAATGAAAGAAAAATAAGATACTCGTTAAGCATGTCATGATGGTCTTTTGTTGCCTGATGAGCTTAAAGGAACACTATCTGAAAATATTATTTATGATTTTTATTGCTTGCTGCAATATTATAACGTAACTATTTTCTCTTCACTGCCTTCTGTTAGTGTAGTAATATGCTATTCTATGAGTACTGAGGGGAAAATAAGACTATAAGAAATTTGTTTGACAAAGTCTTTCATGCATTTTAGCCTATTGTCACGGTGCTATTTCTAGTTTAAAATGAAGACATTGAAAATAAATAATCTAAGAGTGTAACCTAACCTAGATTTTTTCTCATTCTATTGCCTCACAAAAATGAATGCACTGCCTATAAATTTAATTATGTATTTCATGTCACATATAGCCTTTGAAGGTAAGCCATCCCGTAACTGTTTACTGAGATACTGATTACAGGAAGGAAACTTAGAGCTTCTCTTTCATTTGTGCTCTTTCTTAACTTAGAAAGTATTTATTCTTTCTCTGTAGCACCCAAGATTTCAATAGTGATTCATTCAGGTATCTCAGAATGCATGGATTTCTTTTGGGATGCATTCTTCTATTATGGTTGTGAAGTAGGTAGGTACTAGTTGCCCTTATTTGGGTAACGAAAGTTAAGGCTGAAGCTTAATAATACTTCAGACATCTAGTTTTGGTAGGTAATATTGATCTAGTGTTGAGCTTTGGAGGTGCTGAACTTTGATCTTTTCTTACTAAAGCTAGTACAAGAGTAATGAAGATGGAGGGTCTCTGATGTTGTCTGGTGCTCCTGATAGACTGATGCTGTATTTTTTTAGAGAAGTCATGCTTTATTCCCCATATAGATGTAATAACATATAGATGTAATACTAATTATGTTGTATTGCAAATTAAAGAATGACTTAGCTGTCTTAGTGCTGATACTACAGGTCTAAAGACAGTGCAGTTGGACTGCCCTCTCAGATGTCATAGTGAAATTTGGATCATTATTATGATGTTGACAACACCAAATTTGTTCCATTCTACTTCCAACTTCAAAATAGGAATATCTGAACCTTTTAGAAAGAATCTTTTTGCTTTCCAACCAGATGTAAGGGTCTTAGATTTAAGTTGCTTTTTTTTGTTTCTTCCATCATAATTCCTTTTGTAAACAGTAGGATACATGTTGATCTAAGATACGTTAGTGCAAATCTATTGATAGGACTGTCCTTAAGATGAGTTACTTTTGATATTTATTAGTATAGCATGAATCAGGATATGATACAGTCTTTCACTGTGAAGGAAAATTTCTTTCTACTGAGAAAAATCATAAACATTCAACAGAGGGATCAAATCATACATGAAATTTTAAACTTACTGAGCTTTTTCATGCAGTCTCGAAGCCTTGTTTCTAAACTCAGCACCCGCTGGTGTAGTTCGTCATAGTCATAAGCACCAATTTCTTCCTGAATACCAGTGAGGACAGTAGACAGATTCCTAATTTCCTCCTTGAACTGGGTGATTAATTTGGCATCAGTTTTGTATTGCTCCAGAACTGGGATCAGTGGCAGGAGCTCATCCATCTTTTCTTTCAACTCCTGTTAAAGGCAATCGAATGTGCGTTAGAGCAGTTTAAAGGAATTCATTCTTCTCATTTTCCATTATGTAATATTTATGTCTAATTATTAAAATGACTTGAAAATAATTACTGATTTTAGCTACGGATCTATTTTTTTTTGTTTGTTGCAGAAGCTTTAGAAACCTCAGAATTAGTGGCACTAAGCAGTAGATAAAATGCATGAGAGAATAGTTTGTTTCTGCTGTGTTACATGATTACCTTCAAGTGATGTAAACCAAAAATGTATAAACTCCCGACTGACTGTATCTTTCTTGAGAAGGTGATTAGGCTTGAACACATAATGGCATCAAAGATGTCATACCTGTTTTTATAGCAGATAAACTGTTGAATTCTATTTCACTCCTTAGAAATACCGAGTTCTTTTCTTTCTTAACGTATATTGAGTCCTATTTATTCTGATCTGACCACAATCATATAGATCTTTCTTCTGATTAAAAATAAATAATAATAATAAAAAAAAATAAAAAAAATCCATGGTTCTTAAACTGATTAGTATTTGTCATACAGGTACATCACTAGGAGCCTTTGAGCTTCCTCTATTTATTTATTTATTAATGCTCTGAAATATTGCAAATCATTTTATTGCCATGTGCAGTTGGTGTTATGTTGACAATCCTGTCCTTAAGTGTTTATTAAAGAAGTAAGGCTTCAGTTTGGAATCTCTGGCTGACCCTTTCTCAGACTTAGCTGTCATGTTCTTTGAGAATTTCTCTGCCTAATCATTCTTTATGTTGTAATTAGTTTTTGAAGATATAAATCTTAATGTTTATAATTAACTTAGGTTGCTTGAGGTGTTTTTTTCTTTTTTTTTTTCTTGGTCATTGCTGTGTAGAAAGCCTCAAAGAATCCTTGAAATCAAAATATTTTCTTTTATGAGTAGCAGGTTTGTCCTTGATATATCAGCTGTACACAGAGATTTGCATATCTGTTTTTAATTTGTGAAAACAGCAGGATGTCCATGAGCAAATCCTTGGAGACATGAGGAGATGCAAGACTGGGCAAAACAATAAAAAGGTGGAAATGGAGGCATGTTAGGTTCTAGTAAGAGGTGATAATAGAGATAGGGAATGGATGAGGACACCCAGGGAGGGCTTATTGTGAAGGGATTAGAAAATACAGTCCTGAAGGATGGCTGGAGTGTAGTCAGGAGATTAAAAGGGAAAGCAGAACAGAACTAGATGGAAGTCTGATGGTTAGCACAATAACAGATGCATGGAGATGCATGTGCATGGCTTTTTAAGTCACTTGTATTATGGGATGCAATGAACATAGTAAAGCATTTCAAAAATAAATAATTTGATGCCAAACAGAATGCTTTGCTAATAAGGAAATATGAAATAAGTGGATGGGATTGGCCATTACAAATGGTTGAAAATCTACCTCTGAGTTTTCACTTCTCAAACAGGTTTGAAAATTGCTTGAGAGGGTATGCAGCATTTATTCATCACTCAGATAATTTATCCACGGGGCATTAACAATTCCTTTCATATTGGAATTATTTGTTCAAAATAAAGACCTACGTGTGGTGTTCAGAAGGGTATTTTGCACACAGATCATCTTAATAGCTAGAAATTAGCATTTTTAATTCAAGCATAATAATAGTTATAAATGAATTAATGAGAATCAAGGGTTTCCTTTTCATCTTTGATGTTGTTGTCAGTGGGTCTTCAAATTGTTTTAATAGCTGAATTATTGAGTTCTTCTACAGCTGAAACTACTTTTATTTGATTGTTCTTAGTAAAAGCTCTGTTTTAGTCTACTTTATCTGTAAAAATAAAGTAGTTATGGTTTTCTTCATGACAGCAAGAGTAGGCTTTGTGATGTGGGAAGCACAGCTTCAGAAGCCCAAGTTATTTAATTTGGAGGTGATGAACTTAGGCTTTGGTTCTGTGAAGCCATAAACAGTCAAAAACCATGAATAAACCATGGATGGAAAACAATGAAAAGATTGTAACTCAGCAAAATGTGTATAAGAGAAACAGTGAATGCATGAATGCTGATTTGACATAAGTATGACCATATGCTCAAGTGTGACTTGGAGCAAATTATGTACTCTGTCATAAATATGGAGCCACAACATTAGAACATCTTACTTCAGTAAATGATAAAAAGATGATTTAGCTGTTTTCATTAAAAAAATGTGTTCTGACACTCCCTAACTTGTTTCTATGATGGTACAAGAATTAGATTGTATTGCAGTATGAACAGTGGTAGACATATCCTAGCACTTAGTGCCTGCTGGTATCAGAGGTAATGCTATGTTAAGAATGAATTTCTTTGTCTCAGTTGAGATGAAGGACTGGAAATTTAGTCGATCAAATTTCAGAAAGCTAACTGCATATTGTGATGTTGACCTTTCAAATTATTCTTTCATTTAGATATCTAAAAATCTATTTTGTCTACCTGGCAAACTGTCAAATGGAAGTTAAATGATTGACCAATACAAATATCAAATATTGAAAAGGTCAGTACTGCAAAAATCTACTACCTTTGATGTCAAGCATCGGACAGTCAATTTAGATATTTTGTTCCCAAGTAAGTTTAGAACAGGAATGCAGAATATATACTGAATATATAATGATGTTACACAGATAACATGGTGGTGTAGCAATGAGTGATAAAAGGAAAAAAGACATTTCTTACTGCCTGAAAATGACTGGATGTATGTGCTCAAACTCCAATATAAAGAATGATGCAAGAAAATATTAAATTTGGTAGTCAGATAATCAGCATAATAATTCCTGATATTACTAAGACCTGTTGGATATTCAGTATATCTGAAAAAGAAATTATGTAATTATTTACTTCATTGATTAGAAAACTAAGTCTGTTTTGTTTCACAAATACTTAAAAATATATATATATATACTTGGTTAAGAATAGTTTAGTATGCAGAATGTTTTTTCTAGATCCTGTCTTGCAGACCAGAAGTATCCATTTATTACACCTGGTATTTGTAGAGCATATTTTCTATTTTTTTCCTTAAGAGTGCTTCAGATAGCTTATTTCAAAGTATACAATGAAATTTTGTGAACCTTCTACTCAGGAAAAGATTGGCTCATGTGGGTTGTTCTTTTTTTTTTTTTTTTGTCATTACAATTGTCTGGAAGTCTTTCTTGAATCACACAGGTGTGACTACGAATGATTGCCCTCCTCCCCTATCCCAAGCTCAAAATAGCAAAACTTTAGATATGAAATTAGATCTTAACTGTACTGGATAAAAATTACAACAACTGATTTATTATTGGCTTTCTTTTTTTCAGCTGCAATAAATATCAGGTAACAGAAAAAGTACAGAACTCTCTACTTATTTGATATTTTCTTTGGATCTTTACATTTATCAGTGTATCTTGAACAATAATTTTTCAGTATGACATGCACGTTGGTACAGAAAAAAAACAGGGTTCAGTTTCTAGGGACATTTTTCTAATGTTTTAATAATTAATAGTTTCTTCCTAGCACAATTAAATTGAACAGAGCAAAAGATTATCATCATAAAGGAAACTTCATTATTCTTTCCTTTTTTTAATGTTGCTCTTGTATGAGCATTTCAAGCTGAGATCTTAGCAGTCCATGCATTGCTGCTTAGTACATTGCTTCCAGCAGGCTTTCAAAGTTATTGTTAAAATAAAACCTACTTGAAAATGCTTTGTCATTAGTGTCTTCCGATCATCTTCAATTTGCCGAAACTTGGCCTTCAGCCCTTTCATTTGTGTTTCCATTTTTAAAACATACTGGAAATCCCTCTGAGTCCGTAGATTTAAAACTTCAATAGATTGGGACATATTCTGAACCTGTTAAAGAAGAACACTCTCTAAATGCACTTTTTGTTGCTTTACTTTTTATTCCTGGTTAAGTAGTTAAATGTCAGGCAATAAAATGTGCTTATAGCAAGGTTTTAGTTGTGAGTCATTTATACCACAGTGTAAGTTTTAAATTTCATAACATGACAGTACCAACTTTGGGAAACAGGGCTAACAGAGGACTAGCAGGAGTAAGATCTTAGAGCCATTAGGGATTTTGATAGTTTCTTTGAGGTGGGGGGGGGAAGAGCCTCTCAGCTCCACTTTTGATGGTCTGGAAAATTGCTGTTAAGCATGGGAGTCTATTTTGTCTTCTGTGATAGGTGCTGACTGTTCTTCACTATGTTCTGTGTAGCATGTGTTTTCTTCCAGGCCCTTGAAGAAGGACAGGACTAAAATTTGGACAGGTTTGCTGAGTGATTTTTAGCTAGTAGGTGTTGGTAGAATAATTCAGTAGAAGGAAACCATGGCATTGTAAGCTGGGATGCACTTATTGTTAAATTGGTGTTTGCTTATGGTTTTATAAATGGGTATAAGATTAGAAATGTTAGCCAATTGTTCTAATGGTAGAAAAACTTTTCTTTTTAATAGATGAGAAGAAGTGAATGTACAGGCAACTTTTGTATGTAGGACAACTTTGTAGCTATTGCTGGCACTTCCACTATAGTAAGGCAAGAACTTTCATCTACAGTAAATTTATATTTTAACACCACTTATTAAGAAAGCAATGCTTTTACCAGTTTTAAAAATAACATATATTTCAACTTCAGTTATTCTTTTTTAGCAAGCATTCTGTTTCCTTCTCCGTTTCAACTTTCCTCTGAGAAAGGGAGTTGTTAAGTTTTGAAATATTTCTAAAACCTGCATGTTATGCTATGGGCTCGGTCAAAACCTGAAATTAAGTTTCCACTGAAGTTCACAGAGGCTTATGGAGAACAAATCTGCAGGATCTGCCATTACATTAACACTGACATGATTTTTTTAGCTAGAATAATACTGAAAAAATACGATATGCTAAAAATACATTTTTTCTGTCTACATTGTATGTTACTTTCTGCTGCTGCTGTTCAACTTTTCTATCTCATATCTCCTACTCTGAGGTTATGCACTACAATCACTATTGACTTAACTATGCAGAGAATGCAGGACAATAATTTGTCTTTCGATGGTTGCAGCATTTTCTTCTTCTTTTTTTTTTTTTTTTTTTTTTTTGGTACAACATAACACTGTACTAGTTTTAGTATAGACAACAGTGGATGGTACTGGGAGTAGATCTTGGGTTTTTGGGCAAAATTTGCATAACCAGACAACAAAGTAGATAGTAAGTGAGAAAATCACTAAAAGCAAATTAGCATATTTCTCTTTTGTATGGTCTGCTTTGATCATGCTGTCCTGCCTGTATTTCATTATTAGTTGATGTGAGGCAAGGAATGACCTTCAAAAGATATATAATTGAAGCAGAAGCTGTAGTTCAAACCCTCCAACAACTAGGTATTTTGAGGTGGGATTTGTAATATTCAACATAGGGAAAATCAGTCCTGACTATGTGTAAGGAAAACTTTTGGGAGGAATGAATAAGAGAAGATGCAACTTCAGTTTGCAAGGCAAGTGGCTTGGGTTGGCAAAGGTATGCTACAACGACAACAGAAAAATTTGGGAAGGTGCTGAAAACACTGATAGGAGACATACTCTGAAGAAATAGTTTTGTTAGATAACAGAAAGAAGTGGATTTTTGTGGGAAATGTATTGAGTACAAGAAGGAGTTCCTTGGGCAGACTTACCTTCTCTAGCAGCTGTCTAAGTTGCCTGCTCTTGGCATCTCTTGAGCACAGGTTTTGTTCAGGTGCAACAACTGTACAAATGCAGCGGCCATCAGGATCCTGGGCTGAACTATAAACTTGCCACCCTTCCTTGGGGCTAATTTGAGTCTGTAACACACAATAGTAATAATGCAAATGAAAGGAGCTGAACTGATTCTGTTGTTTGAAAACACTACCTATTTTGGTTTACTTTTGCATTATATATTTGCAGTGAGATTCCTCCTAGTCATTGCTCTTTATTCTCTTAACTATTTATACTGGTGATTTTGTTCAGATTCGTAATACATCCTTTAGCAGTGTGCTGTGAGCATTGTTTCCAGTGATGAGAACAGTTTCCTGCTTGGGATTCAGTGCAAGCTGGTTGATTTAATTCTTTGCAGAGCAATGTTTCGGTTTTTCATTAACAGAGAGCAAATATGTCCTTTCAGCCTGAATGACTTTTACTTTAGACTAATGGAAACAACAAAGTCAGAAAAGAACAAATATAAAATCCCAAAGAGAGAGTGCAGTATATGTGACTCATGCAATAGGAAGATGGTTTGGACATGATTCTGGATGGGGGTTAGCAAGCTTGCTCTTCAAGATGCAGCACAGAAAACTGTTCTCCATTGACTTCAGCTGTGCTCACACTGAAGGGAGAAGGCTTGCTGCAGGGCAGTGCTGAGAAGTGCCAGATTAGTTTAGATGGAGGGAAGTGATGGCAGATATGGCATAACACAGTTAAGACACTGAACTGTGGTTCACTAGGACAGAACAGTTCTGGAAATTCCTAGCATTCCTTTAAAATGTCTTTGAAGCTTTGGTGGCACTTTGTGAAAATGGTATCTGTCTGTTTAATAGAAAGTATGGAGGTCTTAGAGTGTTGGAATGGGACTATGTAATTACATGAATGAACCCAGGTGACGAAATGAAGAGTAATGGACACCAGAAATATTTTTCTTTTCTCAATCTGTAATTTAAAATTAATATGAAGTGTTATTTTTTCCTAATAATACAGTATTAACTGAATTTCATAGTATAGTTGCTAATAGATAGCACTGAAATATTTCTGGATGTAGTTGAAATCAATTACTAATTATACTATGAAATTGCACTTATTGTCAGCATGGAGAGTGATTGTTAAAACCAGCAAGCTTCTATTGATGCATAGAGGGAGGAGTAAGTTGCATAACTTCTCATCTCGGAAAACATGCAGTGTCTCTGTAGACTGAAATTAGTAGGGAAGTTAGCATTACTTTTCCGGGAATCAATTCGGTGTTAGCAGGCAAACTTTTTTTCCTTACAATGACTCCTCTGAGGAAGCCAGTGAAGATGGAATTGATCTCTTCTACTGTGGAATTTAGTGAAAAATTCAGAGTTGTGATGTTCCTCTGTTTTGCAAGGAAAAGGAAGGCATACATAGATGACTGTAAATAGGGGACAGCTAAACTTGCCTTAGAATTTGCTAGAAAGGCATATCCAGTGCTAAATGGTTTCACTTCTATGATGTACTTAATTTTTAGGGCAAAAGGAATTTAATTATACATGTATACAAAAATAAGAATCAAACTTACAGCTGGAGAAGTAGTTTAATTTGGTTTTGAGCAGATACTAAAACTGCAGGCTGGAACAGCTGAAGCCCATCAAAGCTGGTAACCCTTGCAAAGTGTAAGCTCTGTTCACTCCACAAGTTTTTATGTTTCTGTGTAGAACTGATGCCCAGACAGCATGGCCACGCAGGAGCAAGCTTTTGTTGAAGTTCAGGAACCTAGAGCTTGTGATAAGTCCTATAGGACAGGAACACTCAGTATGATTTGTACACAGATTGTGATATTTGTGATATCTATGTTAAAATCTATATTTAGATTTTACTGCATTCAGTTTAGTACATCAGTGAATGAGTTCTGTACAGAGGAGAATGGATGAGGCAGCACCATCATACACAGTCTATAGTGAGGCAGTTATAGTCCAGGCTGTGTTGTCAATGGAACTTAATGGTTCTAATGATGTAATGCGTCTGTGTCTAAGAAAAAATAGATTATTGATCAACTCAACCTAATTGTGACTTGATTAAAAAAAAAAACTTCTCAGAAAAAAAGACCTTCAGGCACAGTCTGAGTGTGCTGTGATGGAATAGCTGTGCAGAAATGAGTTGCTGAAGTCACACCCCCAGTATAGGCTGCAGTTCTTTCTGGTAGTTTGTGTTTACCTGTATTTATCCCATTAGGGTTCCTTTGTTAAGTAGGATGGATTGTTATTTTTTTCTTTGCTTTGTCCTTTAAGCCCTGTCTTAAGCAGAAACTGCTGTGGGGGAAAATCTAGCAGGCATCAAAACCTGAGGAGAGCTACTGAATCTACTCTTCAGATGCCGACTTACTGCTGACAGGCCTTAGAAAACAAACGAGGAAAGAGATAACAACTGGCAAACAGCAGCAATGATAATAAATCATACTAGTTCTTGGAAACTGGGAGAAAACAGAGGCATCTCCTCCAAGACTGCATTAATCTGGTTTGGCAGGCTGCTGTGCGATGCAGTCACTTCACTTAACTCAAAAAGTTGTACTTTTTTTCACTTGCAATTGTAGATATTCTTATAGGAGCCTCCACTGTTACTAGTGACAGGACAAATCGCAACATGTGTACTTCGTATCATTGCTTAGATATAGACAGTAATTGTCTGTTTGTCCCGTGACTTCAGTCCAGGGACGGAGTCACTGCTGGTGAGGAGGCCTTTTGCCCTGACTCACCTTGTTGCTCCAGTTGAGAGGAGGAGAAAATGTTAGTGAAGATGAGGAGGTTTTACTTTGTTTTCCTGACATTTCTGAGCTGTATGTATCCTAGAAGAAAACTTCTGGAGCACTGCTTACGCTGCTCTGATAACTGGGGAAGCTGACAGTGGATGACAGCAGCTTGGTGATGCAGCAGTTAGTGATGACTACAGCATTGTCAAACATCTGGGGCATAAAGTCTGTCAGTCAACAGCTGAAGTTAAGGAAAAGCCTGAGATGCTTGGTTTTATGCCAAAACCCCACCAGACTGAAGATGGTATTTTTTCCATTTGGCAGATGATGCCGACCTCAGATAATAAGGATTCTATGATTGTGTCCCTGGATCTTAGGGCACTCGTGCTAGCTCTCTTGAAACACTCTACTTAATGAGTGCAAATTGCATCACTGAAATAACACTTATGAGGCCTTTGTGTAATTTGTGTTTTTTTAGAGTGAAGGGAAGCACAAATTCACATTACTTTGAATCTGAATATGTAAACATATATAATGATAGATGTGTGTGTCTATAACTATTTATGCCTATATTATATAGTAACTAGGGTGAAACTCTCAGCTACTCAGTTGCAGCTTTAAACTTGGATTTAAATTAGGGAACCTTATTTCTTGTTATATCATATTGCCACCTGCACTCTAGTTCACTGGACATAAGATACATTGAAAGAAAATAAAATGGAATTTTTCCTCATCTGCTCAGCTTTGTGCTGCTCTAAAACTTAACAGAATTCTTTCTTACAGCATAATTAAGTTTTAAGTAGCAACATTTAAAGCCCAAATGTAGTGACTTCCTGCAGTAATGCTTTTCCTGCATACATATATTCAATTAAACATTGATTAGTAAATACATCATTCTTTTTACAGCTAAAAAATAAGTCTGAGCATAGCAATCTTCTGTACAAATAGTGAAATTTACATTTTACATAACACACTTATATAAACATCTGATTGCAGTTAACATATAGCGGTTTGCTAAACATTTGGAAAAATTATATTTTACTTCAACTTATGAATACCAGTATGGTGTTCCTTGTTGTCCAATTAAATGCTTGCTATTTACAATTTTCGTGAATAGCTAATCACAGGTTTTCTGTATGTGGTCTTTAACAGATGCTGCTATATAAGATCATCAGCCATACAAACTGCTATTTGTGTCATTTGTTACTTGCCTTTCCAATTTTCTGATACCCAGCCTCTTAGTACTAATTCTATTTTGTTTCTAACAGCTACTTATTTGTTTTACTGTGTTCCAATAAGGAAAAATGTATAGCACACAAAAATTAACAAGAAATCTACTGCCTGAAATCTGTTCTCTTTAATAATGCACTACATTTTTCTGGAGCAGTAAACAAAGGAAGAATGTCTAGGCAAATAAAATGATGCTGCTGTACTATTTTTAGCATTTCACCCTCAAGATGAAAACATTTTTTTCATAAATATTTAAGGATGTTACTTGATACGTTCTTGTCCATAGTAAGACCGCAACATGCTCACCAAGTTATGATGCCCAAAGAGTAGCATGCATTAAGTGATGATAGGAAGGTTAGTATTAAAAAGATTTACAAAGAGGCAACAGAGTAAAGCTTTTGCTAGCACTTAAATTCTAGTTTAGCATTAAGATGGCTTGCAACACATCATAGCTACTTACTAGAGTATCTGAAGTGGGTAGTCTGGTGGTATTTAGTCCTACCAGAGATGGGAGAATTTGGGACATCCAGTTAGAGATCATTGCCATGGTGCTGAGAACAGCACCAAGCTTCAGCAGTGGAGGACTCATTGCTGTGGAGCTAATGAGTTTTCATAGTGACTGATTATCATTCCGATGCAGGCTGGCAGTGAGAGGCGGGACTGCAGCACACAGCAGCCACAGAGTGAATGGAGAGCGAGGAACTCAGATTGAATCATCCATTAAAAACTCAGATCCTTATTTGCTCTCACTAACAAATACTCTATGACTATTTATTTAGAACTTTTGACTACAATACTGATCTTATGCTGTCCCTTTAATAGTCATTATTGTTTTCAGTGGGAGATGTGATGGGTGAATTGCCTCTTTATAAGTGCTAGAAAATCAATTAGCACTTAATTGGTTTAGTCCTCACAGAATTGTAAGTATCCCTATCTGAAATTGGAAAGTATAATCACAAAGCCAAGCAGAAATAGTCCCCAACTCCCTATTACTCCTGTGGCAGAAATATGCTCAGGAATATTTCAGAATCTGATATAGGAACTATATATTTCCCAGACAGAAGAATGGGGAGAGCTGTCTGCCTGCAAATGGAACCATAAAAGTATTCTCAGAAACCTTTCCAAATATTCCTTGATTTCTTGATCTCACATAAATTACAAAGATTCAGTGACTTAATAATTTGAAAAGATTGTTACTAAGATAATTGTTGTTCGTAAAAGAGTACTGAAGTAGTACAAGTTGATATTGTTCAGTGTTTCTGTTAGTGTATGTGCTACTCTAATGAGAATCATTGCGTTGGCAGGCTCATATGTCTCCACTGCCATTTGGGTAGGAACAGAAAACAAACTGTGGGTTGCTCCTATAGCATTTGGAGGATTCTTTTGGCTCTTATCTGCTGTTAAATCTGTTCTTCTCTAGTGCTGTAGCGCGATCTCCACTGTCAGTAGCAGTTTATCTGTTTTAGAAACTTAGTAACTGTAGGGAAAGAAAAGCACAGAGAAAAGGAGTGCAGAAATTCTATATCATTGTACTGTTGGGGTAGTTACAGGTTTTTTCTTTTAAAGAATTGTTTTAAAAAGAAGAAACACTGAACAAGGATTTATAATGGCAGTTATTTTGGATGAACTTGCTTGAAAATTTGCAGAGACAGAATGCTGTATTTGTTTCCAGAAGTAACCATGGATTTGGTATGTTTCTGAATTTGGACTGTCTGCACAAAAGAAACCCATAGTGAAACTGAAAGGGTTGCCTTTTCCTAAGAAAGTGCAGTCACAAATGCATTTATTAAACTTACTATAGTCCTGCAAAAACTTTTACTGATCCTCAGAGCTTGTGCACCAAATGTAGGTTAAACTTTCCCAACATTCATTCAGAACTACTTCATTACAGTTATTTATCTAAAACGTATGGAAAATTACATTTTAGAAAAAGAAATAGAAAATCACATTGGAGACTGCCATGTAATTTTATAAGGGATCCTCAAGCATAAAGATTTGGTAACAGAATACACAGTGAAATTCTGTTTCCCAAAATGTAATATTTTCTGGGTAGACATTTAGCAGGTGAGCTGCTAAGTTTTTTATATACTCAAAAAACCACAGTTCACTGAAGAGCTACATTAGAAATCTGAAAACATTAGTTTATTTGCTTTTTATACAAATGCTGCACAAAAAAATAAGTTTTTTTTGCTAGCATCCCTAAATAAATACAGACTTGACAAAAATCAGTTTACTCAGTGAACTGAAAACCTGCTTATTCGTGGTTGATAGTATTGCTCCTAGATACATCTTTAAAGATAGTGTAGTAAGAGGTGTTCCTCCATGTTTCTTGACAGCTTCTAATTACAGATTACCATACAAGTGGTATCTGGATTCCCATGGTGCTGAAGTTAGATCTGCTACAAGTGCATAAGGGCTTTAAAGCACTTCTGCACTGCAGTGCAGTGATGCAATTGCAGATTGGAGAGAGAGATGTGAGTCTGCTAAAGCTACTTAGCCTGAGAATTGGTGTTAGGGTAGCTTACATTAGAAAGCTGCAAAAATGCCTTTCTAGGACCTTAAATATTTGGTGACTTTGTCTTATACTACCGCAAATTGATAACATTGTTATCACAGCTCAGGTGTGATAAACTTGATACAATAAAAAGTAGCTACCATCAGTGTTAGAAATATCAACAAGGCAAATGTCCTGAAAGTCATCAATAGGTGAACGCACATAAATGCATGAACAAGTTTAACTATCTCCTAGCTGGAGGAGAAGAAACAGTGATAGTAAGAAAGAGAAATAGAGAAGGTCAGGAGTGGTAATTTAACCCTCCTGTCAGCTCAGAACTGTGTGCTTAAAAAAGAAAAAAGCTTACTCCAAAATAGTTCATAGAATTCAAAATCGTGTTCTTGGGTAAATGCTACAAAAAAATAGTTTTATTTGGTAGGAAAATATATTAATTTCAACATAAATAATCAGCCCTGAAACGTTGCATTTTATGCAGAAAGATCAAAGTGTTTGTACACTCATGTCTCAGATATCTTAAATAGCTTCCTTTGAAGAAGAGCAAAATCAGTAACCCTAAACCTCAGTAAGTTAGTACTTTGACAAGTTAGGTTGACAGAGTAAGCTCTTGTACAGACATCAAAGTTTCCCTTCGTACTGTGGTCTTCTGTAGGGTTTAGTTTCTTCATCTTCACATCATATATTCCAGTGGTGACTCTGTAGTAGGCTGAATTCGGAGATGTGTTACTACAGTAGTCTTGTTCCTGGGCACTGTTGGTTTTTCAGGTAAGATGAATGTGTATATAAGCCAAAGTTCTCAGAATCTGAACAGCAATTAAAATTCTTGGTCCACCTTCAGCACTGTGGAAGTGCCTTTGCCCTTTCTATTCAATTCCAGTTCTCTGAATTCAGAAACCTTGAGAAGTGGCAAACTGTTTCATCTAACACTACATTTTAGTTTAAGACAAACCTCTAGCTTTGCAGTGTCACTTGAGTGGTAATAGCCAGGTTCTTTGAGTAGATGGAGAGGCGAGTGTCCTTCCAAGATTATGTTCTTTCACCAGCCTCATCTTAGTGACATATCACAGTCAGGCATCTCCACTGATGGTACATGTGTCAAGAGAAGGCTTACTATAAGACTGTTCTGTCCTTGTCCGTGCTTTCAAGGTGACATTCTTTCTGAAATGGCCTTGGTTATACACTTTTTTTTTTTTCTCCTGGCTTCAGGATAACTCTTAACTCCCTTTGAATGAAGGAAGAAGTTCTTAGCGTTTTCATGTAAGTGGGCATAGTTCATGATGTGAATTGCTGGAAACGAGGAGGAAGCTGAGCACAGTGCATTAGGAAAGTTGTCAGTTAACTGAAAGACCTGGGCAACAAGTGCAAGGAGGACTAGTTGAAGTGAAAATATTTTTTTTTTCTGGTTGAATTCCTGCCATCTGAATTTTCAGTGACGTTTATATTTTACTCAGTATTATCTTAAAAGCTTTCCCTTCAGATGTGCAATATAAAAATGGTGCTAGAGGTAGAAAAAGAATTCAGTGGAATTACCCATCCCTGTTGTCTTGATTTCTCTGGGTGAGCTAGTTTATTCATGCTCACTTAAAAGAAAAAAAAAGCAAACAAAAAAACAACAACAAAGAGACATCTGCTCAGAGCTTGATGAAAAAATCTGCTGAGAGCCCTTTACCTCTCAGCGGAGGCTGATATTCCGCAGGCTTTGGAGAACCTCAGGGTGCCTTCTCTTGACATGAAGAGCAACAGAATAGGCCAGTGCAATGCCATATGCTCCCAGGCCTGGCATTGCTCAGATTTGAAATGATACTGCAATTTCTCTGTTCTTTTGTTATGGGGCTGCATATAAGGATTTACGTATAATCCCCCCCTGTGATAATCCTTATGCTTAATGCTTTTGATCACTTGTAATTTTTTTCCCATTTTCAAAATACGTATAATTCTATTCAGGGAGAGAGTAAACCTCAGTGCTATACTTAGCTGAGGTAGCTGGCTTTTGCTTAGAGTAAATTTTAAGAGGAACTTGGTTCTCAGGTATTCAGATGCTGAAATTCACTGTGATGGTAGAAAATACAATCCTGGAGATGAGCTAGAGCCTTGAAAATCAGTGGATTTGCTGTAATTGAATAAAGTCAGTGTTTTGGGTGACTTTGAATGCAACTGTGTGTCAGAAAACAGAGGTGAGGTATTTACTGAGAACAGCAGCCTATCTACACCCTGTGAAAGCGATCGGTTTAATTGAACTGTCATGAGGTTGGGCAGCCAGCACTTGCAGGGAACCAGGCCTGTTTTCTGAAAGTCAAGGCTGAAGTGGCTAGGGGATCAAATGGCAAATGTTTAAAGCTCTGGTAATCCTGTGTTCTACAGGATTATCAACATTCAGAATATGAGAATAGTTTAACTGGAAAGAAGGACAGATATAAAGAAGGAATAGATATTTATAGCCAATGTTAAAGTAATTAAAAAACGATGTGTACATGACAAGTTGTGGGTTAGTACTGTTCCAGTAAAGGTGGTCTGATTTGCCATTCTGCAGTGTCAGGGATGTAACACAGAAGTAATTACAACAATCTAGCTTGCCAAGGTTTATCTTTTCTGGCATTAAATACATTACTGACTACAAAATCATTTTTAAATGCTCCAAGAGGGTTAAACCATGAAAGTAAAGACTATTAAGATGAAACTGGGAGGGGGGGGGGGGGGGGGGGGGGGAAGACATACTTTAGCCAATTTATCAAAGCACTGGTGTTGAAGCAATTAAATAGCAATAGGAAAGTGCCATCATCCATCATTGTTAACTTTGGAAATCAGTTTTAGATTTATAACTAGGATAAAATGATTTAAACTCTCTGTAAAAGAAGATCGTGTGACAGAAATAGGAGAGTGAAGAAAATATTGCAGAGGTTGAGTGGGAAATGGAAATCTGAAGAAACTGCATTTCATGGGTGCTTCTTTTTCTGTCTTTTCACTTTGGATGGGCTAGCAAATTATTATGTTTTCTTATGAATATACCGCATAGTCTGCCACAAATAAGATGAGTGATTCCAGAGAGAGCCTACCTCAGTCAGTGCTTTGGGATGATATTTGTCATTTTCAGACTAGATGAATGTCATTGGACTGTTTGCAAGAAGTAGGTGTTTTTTCTTTAATGAAAAAAAGTAGTAAAAAAAAAAAAGAGCGAAAGCGCTATCTCTGAAAACATGCTTTCTCTGTGGAATCTTTTGCTCTCTGTGTTTGTATTTCTTACAGGGTTTCTTGGAGGAAGAGTAGGAAGGGGGGTTACAGGAGCAAGGAAATCAGATACTAGTGCATTCCTTAAATCAGTAGTCAGTAATAACGAGAAGCTGCACAATGCATAAATCATGACTAATAATTTTGAAGACATTGACTTTGCACATAAAAATAATAAAATCATTAGCTGTAGCATCTTTTCTTCTATTTCAGACTATTTAGGAAACAGTTTTTGCAGATTTAAAACTTCATGCAGTGAATGATCATTTCAGGTAGAAGGCCGTTCATAATATATATGTTTTCTAAATGATCTCTACTGGGAGCTGTGCTTCTTTTACTACCACTTGCACATTTTACAGATAATATGAGCTGTTTCCTGGAAGGAACTTCAGCAAAACCCAGCTTGAATTTATGCTGGATCTTCATGGAGAAATATGGATATAAACTGCTAAATTTCAGATCTGGAGTAAATTAATTAAATGGCAGTCACTTTGCAAATGGCTTTTGCTCATTATAGTCAACTAATCATAATCAGCGATTGGCAAAATGTGAATTGCATGATTTGCCCAAGAGGCATGACAATTTTTTGGATTGGATAAATTACTTTATTAAGTTCTGCCTCTGGACAATGAGATTTCTGACTCACTGATCAGTGTTCTAAGAGATGAGTTATTCTGTGCGATGAGTTGAATGGAAACTCAGTAGAGAAAGTTAGTGATGTGCACATCTGTACATCTGTAGTATAAAAAATTAAGAATATTCTAGTTGGGTAATGGCCAAATACTTTTCAGCTCTGTAAAGTGGTTGGATGGGTGCAGAGCTGTCATCTTGGCGTGGACAGGTGTCAGCAATCTAAATACTATAATGACTTCATGATCCTCCCCAAAAGGAAAAAGAAAGCATCTCAGTAATAGTCTCAGGTGGTACTGCAGTTCACCAGAATGAAGTAGTGTCTAACTTTGATGTACTTAAAAATAAGAACTGAAGTACTGTTCTTAGTTTCTGAAAATCTCAGAACAAGCAACCAAAAAATAAATAATTAAAATTGAACAATCTTCTTTAGAAGTTATTATCTAGACTAATAGATTAATGTTAAAAGTTTAATTTCTGATTTTTAGCACTTAACAGAAATAATCACAGAATCACAGAATTGTAGGGGTTGGAAGGGACCTCCAGAGATCATCGTGTCCAACCCCCCTGCCAAAGCAGATTCCCTACAGCAGGTCGCACAGGTAGGCATCCAGGCAGGTCTTGAACATCTCCAGAGAAGGAGACTCCACCACCTCCCTGGGCAGCCTGTTCCAGTGCTCCGTCACCTCACCGTAAAGAAGTTCTTGTGCACATTTGTGCGGAACTTCCTCTGCTGCAATTTCCAGCCGTTTCCCCTTGTCCTGTCTCCACTCACCACTGAAAAGAGTCCGGCCTCACCATTCTGCCCCCCACACCTAGATACTTATAGACCTGGATCAGGTCCCCTCTCAGTCTTCTTTTCTCAAGGCTGAACAGACCCAGTTCACTCAGCCTTTCTTCATAGGAGAGATGCTCCAGGCCCTTCACCATCTTCATGGCCCTCCGCTGGACTCTTTCCAAGAGATCCCTGTCTTTTGTATACTGGGGAGCCCAGAACTGGATGCAGTACTCCAGATGAGGCCTCACCAGGGCAGAGTAGAGGGGGAGGATCACCTCCCTCGACCTGCTGGCCACGCTCTTTTTAATGCACCCCAGTAAGCCATTGGCCCTCTTGGCCACAAGGGCACACTGCTGGCTCACGGCCAACCTGTCGTCCACCAGGACACCCAGGTCTCTCTCCGCAGAGCTCCTCTCCAACAGCTCATCCCCCAACCTGTACTGATGCATGCAATTATTCCTCCCTAGATGCAAGACTCTACACTTGCTTTTGTTAAACCTCATCCGGTTTTTTTTTGCCCAGCTCTCCAGCCTGTCCAGGTCTTGCTGAATGGCAGCACAGCCTTCAGGCGTGTCAGCCAATCCTCCCAACTTCATATCATCAGCAAACTTGCTGAGGGTGGCCATTATCCCCTCATCAAGGTCATTGATGAAGATGTTGAACAAGACCGGACCCAGCACAGACCCCTGAGGAACACCGCTGGTTACAGGCCTCCAACCTGACTCTGCACCGCCAACAACAACCCTCTGTGCTCTTCCAGTCAGCCAGTTCTCAACCCACCTCACTGTCCACTCATCTATCCCACACTTCCTCAGCTTTATTATAAGGATGTTGTGGGGGACAGTATCAAATGCCTTGCTGAAATCAAGGTAGACTACATCCACTGCTCTCCCCCCATCCACCCAGCCACAGACAACATCATAGAAGGCTACCAGGTTGGTCAAGCACGACCTCCCCCTTGTGAACCCATGCTGACTACTCCTGATAACCTCCTTTTCTTCTAGTTGTCTGGAGATGACATCCAGCATAAGCTGTTCCATCACCTTTCCAGGGACAGAGGTGAGGCTGACTGGCCTATAATTGCCTGGGTCTTCCTTCTTGCCTTTTTTGAAGACCGGAGTGATATTGGCTATCTTCCAGTCTTCAGGCACCTCCCCCGTCCTCCAAGACCTCCTCAAAGATGACAGAAAGCGGTTCAGCAATCACCTCTGCCAGCTCCCTCAGCACCTGTGGATGAATCCCATTGGGTCCCATGGATTTGTGAACATTGGTGATACCTAGGAGCTCCCGGACCACCTGTTCCCTGACTGAAGGGAGGTCTTCCATTCCCCAGATCCTCTCACTAACCTCCAGGGTCTCGGATTCCCCAGGGGGAGCTTTTTCTTTTTCACTGAAGACAGAATTTTTAAGGATTCAAACAGGTGACATGCAAAAGACTTAGATTAAGTGCCAACAACATTTGTCAGAAAAATGATTATATTGCTAATTAGGTGAGTTGCTATTGCTAGAAGAAATAGCCAAGTTTTGTGTTAGTTCCAAGTAGCTGAAATAGTAGCAGAAGTTGCTGCAGAAGAAATAACAATCTTCAAAAACAACAGTTTATTATGTTTTCAGATTGTTTTTGATAATTTGAGTTTGAAAATGAGCTCATGTTCCCAAGAAATCTTTGAATATATCTTTTCCCTAGTGATGTCAAAAAGTGAGAGTAGTAAAAGACTAGATATCTTCACAAGTCCTGCCATTTTTATTGTACTGTTATGGCTGTACCCGCAGTACTGCTACAGTGTGGAAGCCAGAGCAATGCTAGCTGCTATTCCTTAATCATGACTGTAGTGGGCTTCTAGTACTTCCTTTGAAATCACAAATACAAGTAATTTACTTCCGCAGTGGTACTTGGAAAACAGGCTGCTTCAGAATTACACTATATGTCTGCAAAGTAATTATCAGCTTGATATTTAAAAGCAGAATCAGAAGGCAGACTGTCTTCCATGACCCTGTGAGGAATGTTCTTCATAATAGAAGGTGCTGAGAAGCTGAGATCGCCTACTATGGAACACAGAGTAACTCAGCTTAGGTAATTTAGCAGAAGAGAAAAGATACTAATTTATGCTCTCTGAAGGACTAAACAGAATCCTTCAGAGCACTGTCATTAAGTATGACATTCAGCAGAATTTCATTGTGTTCAGACATAAAAAATAAAAATTCTGGTCTGAAAAAATGCATGTATGATAGTCTACAAAGTCCTGGAGTGGTGCATTCAGAAACACACCAGGGACTCTTCTCTAAATATCAGATCTTGTACGAGTTGTATTTAAAAAAGGATAATCACTGCATGGTTGCTGTATATAGTGATATTTTTCATTACAGAATAGCTAAAACTAGACCTCAGTAGGTGTCACTTCCATGATTTCATTTGAAAATATTCCATCATTTCTCTCCTTAACAGTATCTTCCACCAGTGTGAAGTATGGGGGGAAAAAGAACCAACCAAACTCACTGATTAACTTTAGTCACTTTGCAAAAAATACAGAAACTTTAGAACATAGAGAAGGACAAAGCTTGACTATTTGGAAATGCACTGAAAGGGAAATACATTTTATTGAAATTGGTTAAATGATTTCTAATACACAAACAAATGAATTAAGGACTATATATCAAGCTGATAGAGGTGCACAGAAAAAAATGGAATTTCGGGAGCAGAATAAATATAATTTGCAAGGATATACAGATCATTTTAAAAATGTGCAATAATAAATCTCTTAAGGATCAGTAAACAAAAAAAAAGTTGTGTTATCTTGGTGACATGGTTCTATTTGAATTTCTTCCACTTAAGGGGAACTGCAAGAACAAAGTCATATAAGTAAATGCAGTACGTGCAGATGCAAAAATGGATGAGGAGTTGTTAAAGCAAAACTGGCTACAAGAAAAACTATTGCAGACTGTCAGAAACTAGTACAGATAGAATACCAGCTTGTGTGTGGTGATAGTTGGTATCAAGTGATAGTTGGCCATA